ATCCAATCACCCCTTGAAGACCTCTCTCGGACATGTCCCCTTTCGCCATCCCACTGCCACTATCCCAGACTGAGCTACTGTCATCCCTTCCCTAATTTTTATGACAGAATCCTAATTTGCTGCTTGCGCCTCTGACAAATAGCTTTTACTGTAATCAGAGTAATTTTGAAGCACGCTTCAAAATACTGATCTGATCCTGTAACTCTACTCTTGAGTAACCTCCAGTGGTTTGTGTCCAAATTTCTTGACCCAGCTCCCAAGGTCCATCGTAGCTGAACCACGCCTGCATGTCCATACACTCTTCCTATTCACTCGTGTTGGGGAGGGAGGTCAGGGAGATATGGGATACGGGGGGAACTCATTAACACTCTACTTGTCCTCATTAGTAATGTGAACTCCGGAAAAGAATTCTCCCTTCTTCCCATTGGAGGGTATGATTTAAGATATGCTGCCAGCCCCCATTTCCCCAAAGGGAGAGGCTTTATTAATCCAATGGTGGGAATTCGAATTTATGAGGCCATGTTTTACTAGGCGGCCCTGTCTCTTTGTGCAAAGTACTTCTCATGTGGCGTTCTGGCACCTCTGAAGGCATGTCGCCTCTTATCTTCCATACTCCAATCTCATTCATTGGAATCAGGGCTCCTTCTCTTTCCTCTTCCTTCTTTCCAGACCTCAGGTACACCTGAGTATACAGAGCTAAAACTTGAGATTCAGAGACCAAAGTCCAAATTGAACCTCAAGCCTAAGTCACAATTTCTGATCCAGGTTTTCCCAAGGCCTTGTTCTGAATTATCAAATGCTTGCCTGGCTGCAACTTTACTTTTCCAGTTGGCTATTGCTCTGTTTGCTCAATCTCCATCAGAGGGGGCTGCGAGCAGAGTCCTAAGATCCTGAGAGCCTCTGCATATGCTTTGAGCTTTAGCTGCAATGTGTTTTGCTCAGTGACTCCATCCATGACCTTTACTATTAGATCTCCTTCTGCTATTCTTCTATACCACCTTCTTTGCTTCTATAAAAGATAGCACAGTCATAAGTCCCTGCTGAGAGTCTCTTCCCTGTTGGAATATAAACTCCATGAGGGAAGTGATCATGACAGTTTCATTTACTGCTGTCTCCTTGGTTCTAGGCAGAGAGGTTAGCCTGTATCAGTACTCAGCCAACATTTGTGAAGTTAATGCAGAAGACAACCTCCGGCCTATCTTCCTCTCACTTCTCTTGGAGGATCAGTTAGGGATTAAAGGAGAATAAGAATGTGAAGATGTTCGAAGGTCTAATAAGTTACATGCCTAGACACTGGACTTACTTTGGAATGCTGCTCGGTGTACCATCACCTGCCCTCACCGGGCTTACCCCATAGAGCAGAAGCTATTTCTTATTCACCTCAATTTATCATTTTATGTTCTAGAAGAACCTACCTTAGACCTCCCCTGACACTGAAGAATTAATATGGGTTTGGTTGTGCTTTGACCAACTTTGCCCTGTGTAACTACAGAGATATTCTATATCTCAGATTCTAGCCCCAGATCACTTCTACTTTTATTGGAAGGTGAGAGAATCTCTCTCTCTCCCTCTCTCCCTTTCTCTGTATTCAGAGTTGTCCAAGAAACTGAACCAATAAGATACATATAAAATTATATGAGCCAATTCCTTACAATATAAAGAGAGCTTTACTTTAAGGAATTGGCTCATGCAATTAGGAAGGTTGACAAATCCCAAGATTTAAGGTCAACAGGCTGGAGACACAGGAGAGCTGATGGGGTGGTTCCAGTCTGAGTCCAAGTCTGAAGGCAGAAGAAGGACCGGTGTCCCAGTTCGAAGACAGTCAGGAAGAGAGAGAGCATCGTTTCTTATCCCCCGCTTTCTGTTCTATTCATCCCTTCAACTGATTGGATGAGGCCCACCCACTTTAGGGAGAAACATCTACTTTACTCAGTCCATTGATTTAAAGGTTAACCTCATCCAGAAGTATTTTCACAGACATATCCAGAATAAAATTTTACCCAATATCTGGATGCCCCATGTCCCAGTCAAGTTGATATATAAAATTCTCTCTCTCTCTCATTTTTAGTTGACAACACATAGTTGAATTGACATTAAGAGCTGTAGTATGAAGTGTGTACAACCTGTTTGGGGAGCCAAGAGGAGGAAGCTATTTACTTTGCCTTGGTTGGGGGCAGTGTCAGGGAAGGCTCCCCAGACAGCTCTCCCTCAAGAACACTGCACAGTTGAGGCTGTCCCATGGCAAGCTGGAGTTTGGGGCCGCGGCCTAGTCCATACTATGAGAGACACTCCTTAAGCATGATTTAAGGGAAATAATAGATTGAACTGACAAAATTATTCTTAGAATGGTTTATCTTCTCTTCAGATGGCTTTCTCTTTTTCTTCTCTGTCTCAGTTTCTCTCCAGGAAAGGCCTCGCACCTCACGAATAAAATAGTGCCTTAAAAAAGAAAAGGTGTTGGTTCAGGAGCCAGAGAACCTGCTTCTAACTAGAGGCTGTTAGGCAAATTACTTCCTTTGTAAACCTCTGCTTCCTTATTTGGAAAAAAAAAAAAAAAAAGGATTAAAACTCTCTACTGCTCAGTGTCAATGTGATTTAAATAGGATACACTTGAGAAAGAAGACCATTTTGTGCCCAACCCAGACCGAGCTCGGGAAAGTTTGCCCCCACCTGCCCTGTGCAGCCTGAGGTGCGCGGTCCCCGTGGGGGGAGGCGAGCAGGCCAAACTTAGAGCCACTGGTGAGAACCAAAGATGAGGCAGCCCCACTTACACAGGAGGAGAGAGATGTGGAATGTGTTTTCTGAGAGCCACCTGGGGTGTGACAGAGAAAGGAAGCCAGAGTGGAATGCAGTAGCTTGTCAGCCAAACTCTTCAGGGAAGAATGCTCCCCAGGCATCAGGGAGGAGAGCAGAGACCCCCCTCCACTTTACCCAGTCACCATGGTCCTGTTATTCATTAGACCTGTGGAAGGGGGGATGACGCGGGATGGTGGGAGCCCAGGGGGCTCAAATAGCTGAGCCAGCTCCCCCATGGGGCTGGAATCCTGCCTCGCTGGGGCTGGAAGCTCTTTTCCCCTTACCACTCATTAACCATTACTCCGTGCCTTAACCAGCCCTCCCAAGGTTCCATCTTCCTGTGAGCATCATTCTGAGCAGGAGAACCTTCTCCTCCTCCCTGAGGTCTGGTAGGCAGCCCCTGACTGCCTTATTTCTGAGCTTTGCTCACACTCTTCCTTCCATCTGGAATATTCATCCTTCTCCTTGACTTATTAGAGATTTCTCTTTCAAGGTCCAACTCCAATGCCCCATTTTGCTTCCCATCTTCTCTGAAACACAGAGTCGTGCTGAGTTTTGCCCTCTTCCGCTCACATATGTACTTCATATGTTTTCTGTTGCACCTGTGTATTCTATCTTGCCAAAAAAAATAATTAACAGTCAACAAGCTTACCTTCCCCCACTGGATCGGACGCTCCTTGAGGAAGAGTAACTTGGAGGAGGAGGGGAAACTGGGCTGAGGTCACTAGGGGCTGCCGAAGAGCAAGAGGGGGTTAGGTGAGGCCAGGAACGCTCTCCTCTTGGGTAGAAAATTTAAGGATGCATCGAAATCTCAGAAGTCAAGATAAATATTTGAAGGCAGTATTTATTTCTTTCAATTTCTTTGAAAGGTTCCATTTACTTACTTATTTGAGAGAGAGGAAGAGCGAACAAGCAGGGACAGGGGCAGAGGGAGAGGGAGAGAGACTCTGAAGAAGACTCCCTGCTGAGCATGGAGGCTGATGCGGGGCTTGATCTCACGACCCTGAGATCATGACCTGAGCCGAAATCAAGAGTCAGATGCTTAACAGACTGAACCCCCCAGGTGTCCCTGAAGGCAATATTTTAAAAAATCAAAATTAAATTAAAAATCCTTAATGATCAAAATATTAAAATTAAAAAAAGGCAGGCTGTTGCTGTTTATGTGTTTTTTGGCCCTGTCTTTTTTTTTTTTTATTTTAAGATTTCATTTACTTATTTGAAAAAGTGAGAGAGAGAGAGAAAACACAAGCAGGGGTAGAGAGGGTGGAGAGAAGCCGGGAGAAGCAGGCTCCCCGCTGAGCCAGGAGCCCAACATCGGACTCGATCCCAGAACCCCGAGATCATGACATGAGCTGAAGACAGATGCTTAACTGACTGAGGCACCCAGGCGCCCCTTATGGGCCTCTGTTATGCAACAAGAAAGCCCCAGGCCCCAAAGCGGCACCACCCTCTTGGCCGCTGCTGGGTGAGCTCCTGAAGGGTAACCATGAAGTGAAAACAGAGGGCGCGATGCAGGGCTTTCTACGTAGTCATGGTGTGTGTGTGTGTGTGTGTATGTAGTCAACTTTTATTAGAGTTTTCCACTTGGATCAAAATATAGGCAGGTATTTTGGTGAGTATGCATGGAGGTGCACATTTTCCCATCTTCCCTTCAGTCTCAGGCTCCAGCCTGGCTCTGCAAGGCTCCCTTCAGGGAAGAAGTAGCATCTGCTCGGCGATGGGGCATGGGGAAGATGTAGGCGAGCCCGAAAGGACCCTTCTCCACCTGCTGCTCCCCAAGAGGGGCTCCATACCAGAAGTCCGGCCGTACACAAATCTCTCTTTCTTGGGGCCCAAGTCCTAATTCCCACCCTAAACAGTTCAGAAACTTCTGGAAATATCAATGCCTTCTCCTTTTAAGTTTGAAATATATCAGTTAGTCTTCATATATCAGTAATGTCTTCATAATAGCTACTTTATCCCATCTTTTGTTTATCTTTGTTTATAAAAAAGAATTTTTTTTTATTCTATGTACATTTTTTTTTTTAAATTCCAATGGACATTTACTCTGAACCAGGCACTGGGCTACGTGCTGATAATTCAGAAGCAAGTTAAGCCCCTACCCCCAAGTCGCTGGTCATTTACTGTGCTGGTCTGTGTACTGGTGGGTGGGGCAGTCAGAAGCTAGGGCACAGAAAGTGAAAACACAATTGCAGCGTGGTATCGGAAGTGTAACGGCAGGGCAAAGCCCAGTGACTACAGGAGCAGAGAGGAGAAAGCCACCATCGCTGCCTTTGGAGGCCGAGGGTAAGCAAGAGAAGCCAGGGATGTCAGAAGGAGACAGAGTGCTGACCTTGTCAGCAGAGCGGGTGCACAGGGAAGAAGAGAAGGTAGCCGGGTAGCGGCCTTCCTGACATGCTCAAGGGGAAAGGTGTCCTTGGAAAAGGCAGCTGCCTATGGAAAGCTGGGAGCAAGAGAAGGCCAAGTGCATGCAGGGCACTGCACTGACTCGGGGTGTCCAGCCCCTAGGGTAGGAGAGTGAAGCAGTTAGACCTGGGGATCGCCCCCGCAGAAACTGGCCCCGAGAGCCACTTGGTCAATTTTGCATTGTCAAGTTTGCCTTGGGCTCGCTGTGTGAGAGAGGGTGGGGTTCAGCCAGGGGAGGGAAAGCAGCAGGCTGGCCTGGCCTGTTGGAGACATGCTCCAGGCTAATGAGAGGAAATAGAAAATGTAATTAACATGTCTGCCACCAGAAATGAGAGCTAAATCTATTACTCTCTTCCTCCTGCTTCTATTATAAATTACTGTGTTTCAATTACGATTTTGAAAGTATTTCCTTGAGGAAATATGTCAAGGTTCTGCAATAGGAAAGAAGGAAATGGGACCATGAAAGTTTAATTTATTGCAGTGGCCGCATTTAGAAGAGGAAGAAGAAAATGAAAAAGAATAGAAAGGCAGAAACATGGAGAGTGTCGCTGACAGGTCACCTGCTGGGAGCAGGGAGGTGGGGAGAGAAGCCCGAGGTGTCTGAATATTTATGGAGTCGCTTTATGGCATGCAGTGAGAAGAGGCAAGCAAACACTATCCCGGCAGGCCAGGTGCACCTCTTCCTACTCTGGGCTCTGATGAGCCTGCTCATTTTTCCCTGCAGACGCTGAAGAAGATCTCAGGGAGGATGACGGCGTGGGCTCTAAGTGTGGGGCTGGACACCAGGGTGGGGTGCATGAGAGAGGAGGACATGGCCCCGCTCTCAAACAGCTTGCAGTCCAGCGGTGAGGCTGATTCCACAGGAAAGGAAGTGCTGACAGAGAGCTTCTACTTGGGGCTGGAAGAGCAAGACTGCACCGATGGGAAGGTGAGGAGCCAGGCCAGTGCAATAAACAGGTTCCCAGGCCCCCATTCGCATGTTGGCCAAGGACCCTCTCAAGAGAACAGATACCCCGTTGTCTTTAGAAAGGATGGCTGCATTCGAGGTACATTCATTACCTCGTCTACTCACTTAGCATGTAACAGGGAATTCACCCAAGAGAAAGCCCCAGGCCTTATCCTTGAGGACTGCACGGGCCCCTGGGGGGCAGATACATCAGGAAATAACAGCAAAGCAAGGAGGCCGAGCGAAGGTAGCTGGATACACAATAAAATACAGAAGTGTGAAGGGATCTCAGGCACCGGGCCGTGAATTCTGTCTAGGAGGAAACCAGCTTTCCAAGAGAAAGAACATTTTGGAATGAGGGTGAGAGATTTCCTGCGGACCAATGAGCAAAGGGGGCACAGAGAAGGGGTCCCCACAAAAGCCACAGCGCAAGCCAAACAAGGCAGGGAGATAGGAAGCAGAGTGGTGATTCCAGGGGGCCCAGGACTGGCGTGGGGGTGACAGGAGAGAATGCTGGGAGAATCACCCCCCACAGAGACCAGGTCCAGAGGGGCCATGAAGGTTGTGCCAGGGGGCTAGCATGTAATTCCGATGACACTGGGGAGCTCGGGGGTGTTTTTGAGCACCAGGGTGAATATCTGGGTTCTAGGAAGAGCACTGAGGAAGCTCCATGGGGCATGGCCAGGTGGGGACAGGGGCTGGAGTTCCAGAGCCCAGGTGGGAGCCCACAGCAGTCCCGGTGGGGGGGGGGGGGCTGAGCAAGGGCAGTGACAATGCAGCCCAATGAGGGGACATCCTGGGGGCAGGTCGGGTGGGGGATCAGCCTACAGATGCTCAGCTCAAATCAGTGGAGACCTGCCTGGAGACATTCTGCCACAATCCACCCTTTGGGGCCAAAGCCTAGCAAACAATAGAATTTTGGAGGGCCAGGCACATTATTTCTTAAGTGAAAGCTGTTTTCATAATTACTTCAATCCCATCTGTTTTCATTTCCATGTGTTGATTCTATCTGATCCCCAAAACAATCCAGCAAGACAAGTAGCATCCTCCCCTTTCACAGATAGGGAAGCTAGACCACGCAGAAAGTCAGGTGTGTTGGAGGCTTACGAGAAGTCACCTGTGGACATGGAAAGAGAATGGTAACTGTCTCCCTCAGGGACTGAGACCTATTCCCCCTCCCCCTCTCTCCTTCCCTCCCTTCTTTCCTTCTTCTCTGCCTCTGTCTGTCCTATCACCATTTGGGGGGTCCCTTTTTCTGAGTCCGAGTGATGCAGGAGGGCACAGGGCTGGGCTCCCAGAAATCACTGCCCAAGGGAAGAGAGACATCTGAATAAGCGAGGAGGGAAGGTGCCTGCTACAGGTGTGCTCTCATGTCAGTCTACAGGGGAAGGGGATCTCCCTCAGTCTGGGGTTCGGGTAAGGCTTTGGGAAGGAGATGCTGTCTGCTCTGGGAGCGGACTGCAGGTCAGAGCAGAAGAATCTACTTTCATCCTGGGATGAGTCAGATGAAACTGCCTTTAATACGGAGCTAGTTCATTGGTTTGCTGGCTAACACTTTTCCCAGTGAGCTCCTCTGCATCTTTCTCAGACACATCTCCTTCTGACCTGGACCCAGCCCCAGGGGAGCCCATGCGGGTCCGGCCCCAAGGCTACGTGGAGCAGGTGGGTGTGCCTGGCAGTGCATCCCGGATCTGGGAACTTTCCTGCACTCACCCTTCGCGGGCTGGAGGGAATGCCTTTAAGAAGAGCAATCACATCACAGAGGTTAATTCCAGTCCTCTGAGCAGCCGCGGGAGGGGTGGCTCCCTGTTCTCGGGGGAAGCAGTCCAGCATTGTGAAGGGATGCAGATGAATAAAGTCACTGTTTACAAGAAATTCTAATCTTAGGGCAGTTCAAGGTAAAGACAGACAACAGCCAGGAACAGCCAAGAACAACACTCTGCCAGAACACATGGAGACAGAGGCCTCCAGCCAGACATTGTTTTTTCTCTAAATATTGTCACCAAAAAAACTCATTCCGAAAATCCCTCCGTCCCCTGGGCAGCCCCCAGCATATCAGTAAAAATAATAGTAAAAGTAATTAGCTATGATATTGGATTGCCTACTATGTACTAGACATTTGTTTATATCACTTTATTTTGATGCTGACCCTCCTCCCTCCCCCCACCAAAATCTAAGTAGGTGTTAGTACAGGAAAAAAAAAAAAAAATGGAAGAGGTTGAGTGATTGGTTGAAGTCGCACAGTTAATAAGTAACAGGGCTAACTTTGGTGTAGGACTGAACTGAAGTCTATCCACTTTTCAGATTCTTACTTTGTTTTGCCACGCGAGGAAACTGATTCTGCAGACTAAGGTTGTATTTATTTCTGAATCTTCTACATCCAGTCCAATGTGCCTCAAGTGTTTGGGGTTGTGAGGACATTTTAAAAATGTTAAAGGTAAAGCCTGACATCCCCGTACAAATTATACCTGTGCACATGGAAAATTTTACATAAAATTGAAGGGTATTTACAGACTTTTTTTTTAAAGCCATCTGTGAACTTCATGTTAAGACATCCTGATGGTACACTTTTTTTGTGAACTGATTTAGGATTATGGTTTCCAACCTCAGGTCATCATCCACAGTAGGCCTGCCCCTCCCTCACCATCCATTCCCTCCTCCCATCTGCTCTGTGTGCCCCCTGCTCTACGTGGGACGGGAGAGATTCAGAAAAGGGACCGAATGAACCAACTGTCCCTGATAAGACTTTGGGGTCACTGGAGCTTCAAGTCTCATTGATAGTGGGGGTGTCCTACCTCTTCCATCGCCTGTGTCTTGTCCAAGTGTCCAGAGGTCGGAGGAAACCCTATAACTCACACAGGCTCTTTTAACCTCGCTGATGGCAGACACAGAATGACAATGAACTTGTGACTTCTCAAGTTTCCCCAACACATCTTGGTCCTCGCCCTTGTCTTTCCTTCTGCCTGGAGCATCTGCTCCTCTCCCAGCAAATGCCCAGTCCTTCCAGACAAGCTTGGCATCCTCTCCTTTTGGATGCCCTCCCTGGCCACTCTGTCCCCCACCTCCATGTGATTAGTGGTGGCTCCTCCTCTCCCTGTGCCCCCTGCAGCCCGAGCCGGGCACACCGCACTGCCCACTGGCCATCAAGCATGCCCGAGCTCCGAGCGCGTCCCAAGCACGTCCCATTAAGTGCTGAGTAAATGTTTATTAAACAGCGGAATGAAGGAAGGCAGCTGGGGAAGTTCTTTGAGGCAAAGTATGACAGACCTAGAAACTCCCTTAAAGAATGTTGATGGATATCAGACTCTTGCCATCTTAGCCCCAATTAATGTGATTTTAGGGAGGGTTTTGTTTTTGTTTTTGTTTTGAGCTGGAGTCTTGAGACAGTTTTGGTGCTTTCTTTTTGAGTTCCTTGGAGTTGATCATCAGGATGGTCGCCAGGAAAGATTCCCTTTAAATCAGACATGCCCTTGGAGGTACTCTCAAGTCGGAAAGTCTGTCGAAGACAGGGGGTTTGCCGGGGAGATAGATATGTGTGGGTGTTCAAATCAGAATTCGGGGGTCATCTGCCTTTGATATTCAAAAGTATCTTTCAAATATTTTCCCAAGCTTGAAGACTCTGGGCTGGACAAGATTGTAGGAGGGGTAATCAGAACAACCTGTGGGTGATGCCATATCTCCAAGTTGCCGGAGCTGTTGCTGTCTCAAAATATTCAAGCAGGGTGCACTGTAGCAACAGTGTGGACCATATGTTCCTGGCAAGCCCTGACATCTTCCCAGGGGGCCCACAAGGTCAAGAGCATTTTCATGATTAGTTACCATTTCCACTGTGTTAATATTTGCATGGATGAGGTTAAGGCCCTGGGGGCAAAACTGCTGGGTCTTCAGCACGAAACTAGGAAGTAACACCAAACTGGAATTATAGTCATTGAATTCTTCATCATCACACATTTGCAGTCAAACAAAACAAACATAAGAGACTCTTAAGCATAGGAAACAAACTGAGGGTTCCTGGAGGGGAGAGTGATGGGGGGATGGGGTCACTGGGTGATGGACATTAAGGAGGGCACGTGATGGAATGAGCCGTGGGTGTTACATGCAGCTGATGAATCATTAAACTCTCCCTCTGAAACTAATAATACACTATATGTTAATTAATTGAGTTTAAATAATTAAAAAAGGGAAAACAAATAAAAATGACCAGCTTCATCTATGAATGTCCTTCATGAAGCCATGAAAATTCATCATCAGACCCCAATCTCTGAGCATTTTAATATTCTGTGTGATGAATTGAGGGACACTCACACTGCCTACCTCAAGCAGCTCTTTATCTGTGGGTGCCATTTTTACTTGAAAGGATAACTGGTACACAATGTTTTGTTTTGTTTTGTCCAGATTTGGATATTTCAAAGATATTTTCTCAAAAACGAACTAAGCGAGACTGTCACTTTAAAGAATACAACTGACATTATTTGTTGTTAATAAAAAAATGCAAGCTTTTAAGCAGAAACTAGAGGTTAGAAAACTGGTATCTGCCATCATGAGCTTGACTTTTGCCTAAAGTATATGAAGAAACCCAGCTTCACACGGATATGTTGTTGTAAAAGGGAGTATGTCGATAGCCTTTTTAGTTAATTGGAGAATTCAGGTGATAATTGAGGAGATAATAATTATTCTCCTTTGATACTACACTAAAACTTAACACGTGGTAGTTTCTTAAATGGTTGTTTTCATGTAGAATCTGAAGCCACGTAAGTGGTTTTTTCATACTCTTATGTTACTTCATATACATCAATCCAAACACACCACATCAGATTGAAGGCAGAAGCAGACATGAGAATCCAATCATCTTATATTAAACCAGATGTTAAAGAGATTTAAAAATATATAAAACAATATCCCTCTTCTCACTAAATATTATCTATTTACTTATTTATTTAGTTTTTTTTTTTTTGAGAGAGAGAGAGAGCATGCATATGAGCAAGGTGGGGAGGGACTGAGGGAGAGAGAGAATCTGAAGCAGGCTCCACGTCCAGCACAGAGTGGGTCTTGGTCTCAGGACCCTGAGATCATGACCTGAGCCAAAATCAGGAGTCGGATGTTTAACCAACTGAGCCACCCAGTATCCCTAAATATTTTTATTTTAAATATAGTTATTTTATTAAAATGTTATTTAGGTGAATAGTAACAAGCTTATTGTGATATATGCATGAATTGATATATATTTTAACCTTCTTAGCTTTAATTTCTAATGTGATAAATATTAATAGATGTAACTCATATAAACAGGAGCTCTTTAGGGCTATTAATAATTCTCAAGAGTGTAAAAGCATTTTGAGATCAAAAAGTTTGAAAACCACTGCACTATGACAACCCTTGAGCTTGCAAAAATATCTCCAAAAACCATTATTAGGGGGCAATGAATGGGTGAGTTGGCCCAGTTCCCATAATCGAATACATTTCAGCCCCACTCTTGTGCTGCTAACCCAGGGTCTGACACCTGAGGAGCCGGTGGTCATATATCTACAATATGGTTCTAAATATGCGCACATTTGTCCATTCATCCCAGGCCCGTGACCCCCCCCCCCCCATTAGGGAGTCAGACCACATCTCTTTTCAATAGCCTCAATCCTACCTGTCAGGGCAGGTATCACAATATCTTCTGGAAGGATAATTTGGTACAGCTGCTAGAGCACTGGGCTTGGAGATGAGAAGAGTCTTCTCAGACTCACCATTGACCAGCTGCATGACGGGGGGGAGGGGCCAGTCTCTCCTCCCTCTGGGCATCAGTGTCCTTATCCACACGGTGTTTGTTGAGTGGACCAGACTTTCTCTAAGACACTTTCCAACTCTGGCATTCTATGAATCTATTTGGAGGAATATTTGAAAGATAATAAAAATAACAATTGGTTTCTAGGTGGTGTTTTGTTTTTTTTTCATAGTTGACAATTCACTTTCCCATCTGAATTTCTACTGGTGCTATCATAAACACACTACAGTAATTGTTGAAGTTTCTAGAGGTAAATGGTCTGGCACTGAGTCTTGTGCCACTAACTAGCTATGTGGGCTTGGATAAATTAATTAATCCCGCCATGCCCCATAAAACTGTTGCGTAGATTAAATGAATTAAGGCATGCACAGTGTTTAGAATAAATTCTGACCTATGCTATGTGCTCACTAAATTATTATTAGCATCTGATTCACTGTGTTGTAATTGTGTGTTCACATGACTGTCTCCCTTCCTAGACTGATCTTGCTGACCAGGACTGCACCTTGGCCATCATTGTACACCCAGCCTCTACAATAGTGCCTAGGACATAATTAGCACTCAATATATGCCTGTTATATGGATTAATGACTGACTGATTTGATAGTTTAGATCATTTTCCAGCATCTAATCAGTCCCAGACCTCTCTTACTTTGCACTGAGTATAATTTTCAATGGGATTTGGGTTGACCCATTGGATTTCAGAGGTCATAAATATGCCTGTGTGGTCTGGCTTGTGTGGAATGCTTTGATTATAATGATGACGATAATGATCCATGAGAACAGACCTCAGGTAGCCACTGCTTCTTTAGCCTGGGCCAGAATGAACCAACTCTAGCAGGCTTCCATCCTGCACCTTAGCTACAAAACCAGACAACCACACTCTGAAGCAGAGCTGTCCAGCCAAGTAGAGCCCCCGAGGAAGGAGAGGTCTCCCAGGCAATGTTGTATTTCTTTTGTGGGACTGTGGGTGTTTGGACTGCCCGAGTAGTGCTGACACTCTGATGTAAGGTGACTTAAATTGTCTCTCTAGTTAGGGCCTGCACAAAATACTTGCATGCTCTCCATGCACTCCAGGGCTGCCCTGCCCGCCCCCCACCAAACCCGTCTTAGATCTGATAATGACCACCAGACTTATAAGCACAAGAACAGAAGTTTACTGACACACGACTGAGATTCGAGGGTGGCTTTTAAAACAACAATCCACATAAAGTGGATGGATACAGTGATACAAATCATCTATAGTATAATGATTATCATTCTTCCCATTTTAAAGGTGAGAAAATTGCAATCAACAGGGATATCTTCTAGAATGCATTTGGCTGGAAATAACAGAAAACCCAGCTCTAGCTGTCATAAGTGAGAGTGAGATCTAAAAATGTAGA